TAGAAATATAGAATTCTCATATTTATATATATATATATATATATATATGTATGTAATTTTTCTATTACCAAATTTAATTGATAGTTGTTGTGTTATGGGTTTTTCATAATTGTTACTTGGTTGTTGTGATATTTAATTTGGTTGGTGTCGTAAAAATTCTAATCTATATATATAATAAGAATAATCATTATAATGCAAATTAGAAAAATATTGATATTATAAGAGATTGAGTTCAGGTTTTTCTTAAATCAAAGTTGTTTAATTAGTATACAAAATTAAATTCTAAAAAAATATATGTGTATATTTTGTACATTATTTATGCACTATTTAATTTTAAATTTATTTACATATTTTAAATTGATTACTTATATAAATATTTACCAACGTGCATTAAATATATTTTATTACATAAAATAAAAAGAACAAGAATACGTGCAACGTCTATAACTTTATAAATAATAATAACATTATTTGGCAACAGAGTTTATAGTAAAATAATAATTGACTATTATATAGTGAACAAGAATAAGTAAAATTGTTATTTTCTCTTATATTAAGGAATAATATATATAATAAAATTAAATTTATATTAGTATAAATGTGCTAGTGAGATAATATATTAACTATTTTACAAGTTAGCCCTAACATGCTCACGTTTAATATTCTGACTAATAAAACAATGCTGATTAAAAGATGTGAAAAATAAATTACAACCTTATTTTTTTAGACTTAACGGTGATTAAAAGAGGTGGAAAATGGATGATAACCATTTTCTGACTTAAACGGGACTTAACGGTGATTAAAAGAGATGGAAAATGTATGATAACCCTTATCAGACTTAAACGGACAGAACCTGTAAAAATAATTCATTTAATATCTCTCTCGTGCATCGCACGGGGTACGTACTAGTTCATAATATAACGGACTAAGTTTATTCATAATCTAATATAGTGTAATATTGTGTAAGTTGGCCAAATTAACTAATACACGTCAATCTAAATAATACTATTTTTAAAGTTGAAATGTGTAAAACTAACAGGATCTTACCTCGTGTGTTTGATGTCAACTATTATGTTATTGTGATATGGTCGATATCAACCTTCAATATGATGTTTCTTGTTATTTTTATTAATTGTTATTAATAATTCAAAGGACATTTTATATTGTTTGAAATGATATCTTATTAAACTTCATATTGATACATCATATACATGATTGAAGCTATATATATATGTAGTATCATTTTAGAAGATTAAGATTCTGTCGAATATCAAGATTTGCCTGACTTTTTAAACAAAACGACATCAAATGGCATCTTATGTACTTTTAAAATTTTCCTTTTTAAGCAAAATAAAACTTTTTCATGATGCTTGGATATAAAAAAATTTGGATTTGTTTGATTTTTTTTGGTTTGGTTTGGTTAATTTTGAAAAGGGTGGTATCGTTAGTTGTTAGTGGGTATTTTAAAATAATATTTAAAATAAAATAATTAAAGTTGATTTGATATAAAAGTATGATAGAGATGATTTGAAGTGATGATTAGTTAAAATTATGTGACTGGATGAATAGTGAATTAAGGTTGATGTAATGTGTAATAATGATAGGTTGATATTATTAATTATATTAGTAATATTAATGATAGTTGAGTTGAGTTAAAATTGAGTTTAAAAAAATAGTTGAATTTAAAATATTTGAATTTTTTGGATAAGTTTAAAATGTTTGAATTTTTTTAGATAAGTTTTGGATAAGTTTTACATGCCAACATGTCACTTTTCAATTGCATAATCATGTCAACAGAGCTTTTAGACTTGAAAAACATGTCATCCTACATGAAAAAGAAATACCAACATGTTCAATTGCATAAAAACTCACAAACTTAATAACAGTTACAAATGAAGTCAATCACTTTTATTTATTGCAATTTCAGTCACAAAATAAGATATATGAGTTTGAATGGCAACATGTCTTCTTTAACTATTTATATTGTTTAGGTTGTCTTTGATAACAATAAATTAAATACTTATCACGATTGATACTTTCAATAACTATTTTTAGGATACCACAAGTCTTTTAGATGAGGTTGTTGATGGGTTTTTAGTATATTAAAATAATAATTAATTGTTACAAATATTTTCACGAATGGATGATAAATTTCATAGGTAAATGTGTTATAATAATTAATTTTTAATTTAAAAATTATATAAAAATTTGAAAGAGACAAAAAAATCACGAATCTTGAAATGAATGAAAAATATTTTATTCTATGGGTGGATGGATAGACGAGATTGCGTAATCTAAAACAGTCCTCATATTCGTTGTAATTCTCAAAACACTAACTAGTGTTGAATTTTCTTTCAACTATGATAACAACTGTAACTTTTGGTATCAACATTGGTTACTTCTTTAAAACGAGAAATCCTATGAATTAAGGCTACGTGATGAAAGCGAGATTGTGTTGCCCTTTTTTGTCAAGCATGATCGTTTATCATCATTGGTTTAATTATTTATTTATTTTTTTGTTTTATTTATTTCTTTCTTTTATTTTAATATTTATTAAGGGCATCACAGATTTATTAGGAAACTTATATATTATATTATAGACCTTTTCTTGTTAGATAAGTTATTTAATTAGGGTTTGGGAGTCTATTTAAACACTCCACTTCTATTGTTTTGAGGGGAGCTGAATTTTGATTGAAAGAAAATATATTAAGAGTTTTCTCTTTATATCTCTCATTCGTTTACACTGCGCCACATCAATTTGTATCAACAGACCAGTATGATTCCTAAGCGATGCCGCCAAAACGGAAGGATGCCGTAGACGACAAGCTCGACGCTGTGATTGAGGTGTTGTGGCGCCAACTCGCGGATCTGACCACAGTGGTCGAGAAGATAAAACTGACTCAACAAGACGTAGGACACGATGGTCGTACGAACTGCGCGTCGGACGTATTACGTGGCTGCAACGGGGGGTTTGCAGTGGATGCGGTTAGGGTACTCACGGAACGCCCCGCTCTCGATCGCCTCCGTCGTTCTTCGGTGACAATGATCTTGAGGACACCGTCTTCGAAGTAATTCATTCGGTATGATGGTGGCGTGGGACGAGGGCTGGTTTGCCGATGGTCGGCGTCGGATGTCACCGTTCTGGGTTGAGATCCCCGAATTTTCAGGGGCCCTTGAGGATGACAAGGGTCGATCAAATATGTTGGTCTGCCTCTTTTTTATGATGAGGGGTTGACCGAATATGAGTGTCTGTCTTTTTTTGATGCCGAGGGTTCGACTGAAAATGAAGGTCCATCTCTTTTTGATGACGAGTGGTCAACCAAATATGAGGATCTGCTTCTTTTTAATGACGATAGGTCGATCGAATATAAGGGTCTACATCTTTTTTATGACAAGGAACAAGTGACTGTGGACGTTGGCCCGCCGCTTCTTCTTCGTCGAGGGGATTGGCACTGTTCAATTTGTCCTTGTAAATTTTGTGGCAACGAAAATGTTTCTGAAGAAAATACATGGAAAGCCTATTATGTGGCTACAAGAGCAATTTTTAACACCAATTCTGAGTTTTTTAGGATTATCAGGGAAAGGACACTTCGGGCTATGGGGTAGTTTTGCCTTAGTGTAGATTACGTGAAGTGTGTTCATGCATGTGGTGATTCATTCAGTGGTTATACTAAAGTTATAGACAATTAGCAACAAGTTTTCAGCTGGGAGCATGTTGCTAGTTTCTATATTCGAGAAGTGCAGGATCGCGTGTTGTCAGATTGTGGAGACAAGATTGAGGAGATGAGATTGCGCCAGATTTGAGAAAATCCTTTTCGGGAGGGGGGGATGATGGAGACGAGATTGCATATTGGCATTATTGGACAAGCACGGTCGTTTACCATCATTGGTTTAACTACTTATTTTCTTTGTTTTATTTATTTATCTTACTATTTAATAAGGGCATCCTAGATTTGTTAGGAAACTTATATATTTTATTAGAGCCCTTGCTTCAAGTTGGATATTTCCCTCTGAAGCTGATAAATCAAATATTGTTGCTTTCACCAAACCTCTGACATATCTCTTCTCACAATGACTTTGCATCAGCATAGATGGAAGCATCAACAATATACTTCAACAATGATTTCAGAGTCCTGGAATTTACCATCCAATCTACTTTCTTCTATTTTTCATAATCTACGTCTCTTATTCTTTGTGGTTCTAAAGATCCATCAATGAACCTTTTGTTTTCTTACAAAGTGCTATCATAATTGAATGCTTCCATGCTAAGAAATTTGAATCAGCCAAAGGATGTGAAACATTTTTCATACTAGGATGATCCAATCCATGTGGGAATAATGGATTATCTTCACCATTATCTGCTACTTTATTCCCTCTCGCATTAAGTTCCAGCCAAGCTTTGTTGTCTGTTTGCGCGTCACCGTTGAAGAGCTAGAAGAGTCAAGCTACCTCAACCTGCTTTGGATACCATGAAGAAATTAAAAAAGGAATCTAAAATCTTATCTCATTCAAAATATCTGAAAATCCACTTCAAACATGTAAGTGTGCCCCTCATTTAATTCTCCATACAATTCAAACTCAAATAAACACAATAGGACATCGTTTTACATTAATAAAAATATAAGCCTAAAACACAAAAGAGAAACATGATTTGGAGGTATGTGAACAAAACATAAAAATAGAAAATGAGACGCAACTTATATATACAAGCATGCATGCGTGTCGTCAACTACATGCATGTTCAACACTTAAAAGACACACTATTCCCCTTCTTACTTTCTTAGATCGACGTATAGCTCTTGGGAATAATGAAAAGCTATTTCATTCTTCCCTAAGACCTAAAGGCTCTTTTGTTGATCGTCCTTCTGTCGAACCATCCAGCGGGTGCCACGTGTCCGTAACACTCAACGAATGTGATTGAACAATACAGGATGCCGTCTCCCTCTCCTCAAGAAATATCTTCACGAAACATTTGATCAGTTGGAGATTCTCCTAGCCCAATGGATATCAACAATGCAACTGAAGTTGACAATGAGGCAGAAAAAGTGCCTTCTGTTAGAGATGAAGAGTTAGCTAGTGAAGATGAGGCCGAGGCTAAGAAGCTTCAGGAAGACTTCAATGAAACGGTTGAACACATTAACACTCTTGATGCATTCANNAAAAAAAAAAAAAAAAAAAAGGGCAAAAAGATCAAAAGCCTGAGCTGATTTCGTGAAAGTAGACGTTGGTGTCAATACATATTGTCAGTGCAAACATTACTCTGTCAAATTGAAGAAAACCAAGATGAGCACAACAACTAGTATGCTAAGGCCCCTGAAGTCATGCACTGTGAGATTGAAAAACTAAAGCAATCGCAACAACAAAAGACTAATTTTCCTTCAGCTGATTCAAGCACACCTCATCCATATCATCATACTAGTAAATTTGACATGGCCGCCATGAGAGAATCAGCTGTCGAATGGGTGCTCGTGCATGAACATCCTTTTCCAATCTTCGTGAAAGATGGATTTAACTTGATGTTGAAAAGAGAAATACCTGAATGACAAAAGATTAACCGAACCACAACCAAAAATGATTACAAAGCGATATACGAGAGAGAGCAGTCCAAACTGAAAATTGTGTTCAAGAAATTCAAGAAAATCAGCTTGACCACTGATCTTTGGAAGTCAAAAAATCATAAGATTGAATATATGGTGATAACTACGCATTGGATCGATAGCTAATGGAGATTGCAAAAATGAATCCTCAACTTTGTGCATATTCACCCTCCACGCCGTGGTCTCCAAATTGAAGATTCTATATTCAAGTGCATGAAAGAGTTCATTGAGAGTAAAATCCATACGGTCTCAGTGGATAATGCCTCAAATAATGACACAACACTGAGAGCTTTGAAGGAGATCTTTTCGAGAAACAAGTGTCTGTTGGCAAAATGGGGTTTATTTCATGTACAATGTTGTGCGCATATCATCAATTTAATGGTCCAAGATAGAATTAGTGAAATCAAGGATATTGTGGATGTGATAAAAAGTACCATAAGTTTCATAAACAAAACAGACGGGCGACGTCTCCTCTTTGCTAAAACTATCCAACAGTTGCAATTACCAGGAAAAGGTGTTAATCTATGATTGCAAGATAAGATGAGATTCAACCTTTGAGATGTTGTATTGTGCACTCAAGTATCGAGAAGTTTTCCCTCGATTCCAAGATAGAGAGGGGCATTTCGAACAATGTCCAACCGCCACGGATTGGGATAAAGTGAAGAAGGTTTGTACGATATTGCAAATTTTTTGGGCAACTACTCATGTGATATCCGGTAGTGATTATGCTACAACTAATTTATATTTAAATGAAGTTTGTCGGCTAAAAAGGTGATAGGTCGCAATTTTATATATTTAATAGTGTATTTTTATACACTTAATTTATTTGCATGTTTATATTTTTTGAGTTATTTATTGCTTAGATGAATTCATTTTCTTTGATTATTTTATATTTATTTCAGGCCATTGGAATATTTTGTGTATCTGAAACAATAGATACGATCAAGTATCGGACCCTGCAAAGTGCAATCAGCCCATTTTAGGCCCAATTATGAGAGGATGAAAAATTTGGCAACACGGGGAGGAGAGATTGTGATTGGTGGATATTGGCCAAGACATTAAGTGGTAATGAATTATTTACTAAGGATTAAAGAAATAAAATCCCCCACACACGTGAGGTGAGAGTCTCCACCCACGCAGGAGTCTTGAGATTTTATTGACTGGAGGAAAAAATTCACGCAGCAGATACGCGGGCAGATAGGAAAAATTAAAATAAAAAATAAAGCCGCAGGAAAGAAAGAGAGCCACAGGCGAGGAGAAAAATACACACGCGGAGGAAAGCCACACTCGCATACGATGAGATAAAATTCTCTCTCTTTTATCTTTATTTATTTCACTAGTATGCTAGACTAAGATTTTTATCCAGTTTTATGGGATGTTTGAACCCTAACTTTGATTTGTCTATGGATTGAAGGATTTATATTTATAGATGATTAATTGAGACGCCGTATTTATTTTTGTTGGTGAGTTGATTCATGCTATCTATGTTTAATGTTTATGAATTATGAGTGTTTAATTTAGTTCGTCTGGCTATGTTAAATATCTATAGTTTAATTGCTAGATACAAGGCTTTAACCCGTAATTGTTATTGTTCTTGTTTCGTTAGTATTAAACTAGGGATAGTGAATCTCTAGAGTAGCGTGAACATAAGTTAAATGGTCTGAGCTTTTGAGTCAATTTCTTATACTAATCTATTTTCCTAGGAATTAATGCTACTAGTGAATTAAATATAGAGAGCTTATTCTAGGTTGTCCACTAGTTAGGTTTTAGTTGAAGAGCTTATTTCAATTAATTATTCGGTAAGGAAAAATTCGATTAACAGAGCTTGTTGTTAGCTAGGGTTGGTAATTCGTTAGCAATGTAAGGAACGCGTCGAAATTAATTAACAGTAGATTTAGATTGAGTAATAACTGAACAAAAAGCTGGACTTCTCTTATTTTATTTAATTTTTATTTATATTGTGATTTTTATTTTTATTTTTCTTAAAACCAATCCCCAATTTTTACTGCTTCCGTAGATTAATTCAATTAGCACGAGAATAATCACGATTTAATTCCTGCTCCTCGTGAGATCGACCCTTACTCACCGCTACTACTAATTAATAGAGGTTAGTTGAGGAAAAAAAAATTATAAATTCAAATTTGACGCATAGCGACGCGCGGTCAAAAGGCTACTTGATAGTAAAGCTGATGATGAAGATACTTTTGTTAAGTCAATGGTTCGAAAAATGAAAATGAAGTCTTATAAATATTGGGGTGAGAGAAATTTGATAATGTCCATAACAGCTATCATGGATCTGAGGTGCAAAATGAAGGTCATAAATTATTGTTTTCCACTTATGTATCCTTCTTACAAAGTTGAACTCAACATAATTGAGTTTCGGCAGGCATAATATAAGCTATATGATGAATACGTCGAGATGTATGATTCGAGTTCAAGCGGTCAAAAGGTTACTCAAAATCCTCCCAGCACGAACACAAGTCCATCAGTAGCACCTTTTTCAGGCAAGAGTGAATTTCTCACTCATGTTTCAGCCAGTGTGAGTGTTCGGCCATGTAAGTTTTGAAGATTGGCAGTAAATCGATGAACCTTCATCCATCCCCATATGCAGATATCCATCATATAAATTAAGGGAAGTTTACTTTAAATTTGTGTTTAATTACTTAGATATTAGTCAATTGAAATTGGCTGATGCGTGTTTTATTAATACAGGAATAATTTGATGCGCCTTCCTTTTGTAGAAGATCCAGCCGCGGATTTTGACCTTCCAAAAGAAGAGACGGGTGAATCAATCAAGGGCATTCCTTATGGAACGTGACTTGGGAGCAAAGATTTGTGTAGGACTTACCATATGCGAACCAAGATAAAAGCATGCTGATGCACTTGAAGGAATCACTTTTGATCTTTGATTTTTATGAGTGTAATTTCTGAAACGAGAAAAAGGCATTCTCGCTGATTGTGTTCTTATTTTTATTGAGTGAAAAAAAAAAAATTATGTTGGTTGACTGTATAGGATAGTTACAGAGTGGTCAGAGTTTCATTCTGTTTAAGTTTGAGGGATTCAAACATGAAAACTCACAAGGGATTTGTGGTCGGATAAGTAGTAGTGTGGAGTGTTATTCAAGTAGAGTGTAGAGGGACTCTGTATTGTAAACCCTTGAATAATGTTGGTGATGTCAACATTAATGAAAGAGATCCGAAGGGAGAGTAGGACGCTCTCCTGAAGGTTCAATTTTTAGAAATACTGCTTCCGCACTTGGTTGAATCTTCTTCAGTTTTTGTTTCTTTAGTTTTGTGCAACTTTGGTTATTTTGTATACCCATATCAAACTTCAGGCCACAAAAGAATGAATTGGATTTTTACTTTGAGGATGCTCTGCTTACTGCCAAAGAGGACTCGTGTAATATCCCTATAAGTTATTAATAAAGTAACAGTTTTAGTTTCAAGATTTAAGTAATTTCGAGGCCAAGATATTCAGTTATCGGTTCGAAATTAAGAGTTTTTCAAGGAACAAGCCACACGAGCCATGTGAAATGAGCCACACGAGTCTTGTGGAAGGATAAGAAAAGGTTAGTTAGCTTCGTCTTTTTCACACGAGTCGTGTGACAAGACACACGAGTCGTGTGGAGTCACACGAGTCGTGTGACCATAGCCACACGAGTCGAGTGAGGTCACATGAGTCGTGTGACCGACAGTAAGGTCAGATTATTGAGAATCCGATTGTGATCTCAACCAGAGGCCAATTTTTAGGATTAACTATGTATTTGACAAGTATACAAGTTAGTCATTAACTAGTTTATGATTATTTATGTTTATAAGTTTTATTTTGCTTATTATGTTAATTTCTTCACTCCATCCTTATGTCTTGCATTTATGCCAATAAATAGAGGCCTAAAATTCAGAGTGTTTACACCAAAGAGATTTACCAAAAGTTATATAAGTTTATAAGAGAGAATAAGTAGTAGAAATTTTGGTGAAATGAAGTATTTGGAAGTGAAGAATCAAGTTTCTATTACTAGCAAGAAGGAGTTAATTTATTTATCTTAAGTTTCATACTAAAGTTCATGCTTTGATAATGAGTTTAGATGTTATGAGTATATATATCCTGATTTAGAAGTTGAGTTAGAATTGATTCTATGAATAAAAAGAGTTAAAGTTGTTTCAAGATCAATTATATGATATATGTGCTTGATTTGATTGAGATGTTGATAAAGATAAGAATAAGCTGAAAAAGTATGATTTGCATGAGCAATTCTTGTGTAAAAGAGGAGTATAAGAGAACAAGAATTAAGTTATTTGGCATAGTATAGCTTGAGTTATAGAGTTTTGAAGTTGAACATGCAAGCTGAATTTTATGTTCACTGTTTTACTTGTGACTTTGAATTCTAATAACTTGATGGATATGCATGATAAAATTATGAAATTTTCATGACATGTCTAATTATGAGTTAAGAATATGACTGTTAAATTTCATGATTTAAAGATGAGAAATGAATGAGTTAAGATAGTTACATGGCATATATGTAAAGATGATGATATATGCAAGAATATTCATTATATGTTCAAGTTTTTAAAGTGAGATTATTATGAAATATTCTCATATAAGTGATGAGTAATTTGTCAAAGTTATAGTTTAATATGTTGAGCATACAATTTTATAAAGATTGTTTTTAAGTCTTTCATATTAAGATCATAATTTAATGTTATGATTAAAAGTTGAATTTAAGGAATATTAAGTTGAGATTTTAGTTTCAAGTAAGTTTACGATGAGTTTATTATTTTATAAATCATGTTTGATGATATTGAAAAAAGTTAAGCATGTTTTGATTTTATGTACTTTATCAAGTATAATGTTAAATTTAGTTATTTTTCACACTCGAGTTATTTAAGTGACATGCGAGTATAAACCAATATCGATGTTTTTGAAGACATGATTTATATAGGGT